ATAACTATTCACACGACGTGTTGAAATTTAAGTGTCAGATTGTATGGTAAAAAATAGCAAGTAACTGGCCTATACTGGCGGAAATGTACGCAAAACAACAACACTATTTTCTCTACGTGGGCCAGTACAGGTATGCTGGCCAAACACATCGGTCAGTAAAAAAAAAGTGTTACCAACGCAATAAGCGAACTATTGCAATCATATGTAAACAAAAATTCAAAAATTGGGAAATAGAAAAAATTTCAGTGTTTTGTTTTGAAATTTGTAACATTTTCACTAATTCTTTTAATTCTGCATTTGTTTTAATTTTTAATTTATATTAATTATTTATTTTTATATGCAAGTTTTGCTATTTGCCAAAACATAGCACTTGAGAAATTGCCACAGTGATGCCAATGTCTCACGTAGCGAATATAGGTCATCATGCATTTTTTGCCATACTGGCGAGTCACTGAAAAGGCTTATTATTAAAAGGGCAATGGTTAGCATTTTTATCATATATATTTAAATTAATTAAATATTTAATTTAATCATTTAATTATTTACATTTATTAGTAAATGAAATGCTCATATGATTTTAAAGGATGGCTGGACTAATTTTTGAATTTAGCAGAACTAAAACTTAAGAAGTAAAAAACTTTTGTGAGTAAAACCTAATTCGAATTTATTGAACAGTTATGAATGCATTTAAACTGTAAAGTAACGGATTGTGATCATCTGATAATCTCAACGTATATTTTTCAATGTACATATATTCCAAATTGTAACATTTGGATTAATATGTTATACATAAAAAAAAATTAATTTAATTAGGTATTACCATTATGATAATTTTATACAATCTTTAATAAATAAATTAAAAAAATTTGAAAACTCTTAACGAAAATAATAAATAAATTCAATAAATAAATATGTACATAAGTGCAGTGCAAAAAATCCCCAGGAAATGTCAATTTACTTAACCTCATATACTCGAACTCGCACACGGCCTTTATATGTTATTTGTAAACATATTTGTCTACTAAAATAATCGGTGTGGCAGCACAAAATATTTTTGTAATTATTTTCGAATATTATTTTTGAAAACACGTATTTGATTGGGTTTATGGCAAAGTAATAATAGCAAAAGTTAAACACAAGCACAGATAAAAATATATATAAAATTTTGTTTATAAATGAAAGAAATATAAGTCTTATTAATTTAGTATGTGTTTTATTAGCTGTGATGGTAATACAGCAGTTGAACACTGTTTAAGTTGCATTTGACATGAAAGAATTCAATACAGAAACGTAAAACTTTTTTGTTTATAAATATATAATTGCATTTTATTATAAATAATAACTAATTTATGTAAACATTACATTTTAAGAATTAAATTTGTTTCTATTGACGCAATTGTTTTTATTTGTGAAGACGAAAACAGCGACATCTATAAACATTACCTAATTTTCGAACATGAGAAAATGTCAAAAATGCAACAACCACAAAGAGATTTTTGCATATACAATTGCTGCTGTTTCTCGTGTGTGTGTGTGCCTTAAGTCACTTTGATCAGTTTCGAATTTTTTTCATCCCACAAAAAGTCGTGTTGTACCCAATTCTGGCCAGCATGGCGGCGTCGTTAGGAAGATTTTGTAGCTCCAAATTATTAAAATCAGCATCTTCAATTAATTTACAGCAGGTAATAAACTGCACAACCAACAAATAAAAATTTTTCACCAAGCAGAAGTTGTGTCAATTTCGAAAACTGAAATTCGTTGTTCACAAGCATGTAACATTGAAAATGTTCCAAAATCCTTTCCAAAACTATGTATTAAAACAATAATAACAACAATAATGAGTGCTATCACTGTTCTAACGGTTTTTGGTGCTTTATGTACCATTTATAAACAAAATTTTCGTTAATAGTGAAAACTTTATCAAACAATTATGTAACCTGCCAGTAAAATTTCCTCGAAGTAAAATGCTATTACCTCATTCAATTTTTAATTAATTTGGGTTTTCTAAACGTTATTATCATCTATTTTTAGGCAAATAAACTGTCTACAACTAAAAACTGGACGAATGGCCAAAAGAAGGTAAGTTGAATGCCACCGGTCGTTAAAAAAAAGTGTTTGCTGCTGTTGATTTATTTCGTAATTGCAGCTGAAGAAGTAACATAACCTCAAATCAATTTAGTTAAAATTTGTTATGCTTCATTCAAAAGCATTTGTTTGTTAATAAATAGTTGCATTAATAATAAAATTATATTTTTAACAGCTTTTAGCATCGCTTGGTATCCTCACTGGTGGTGTGGGTGCACTTGTCTTTGCGTTAGAACAGTCTGTGGAGGCATCGGGAACTGAAGTGCATCCGCCAGCGATGCCATGGAGTCACAATGGAGCATTTTCTTCACTTGACCATCAAAGGTATGTATATACATACTTATATGTGAAAATTATTCTAATGCATAATTCACGTATATTTTTATGTAGCGTACGGAGAGGGTATGAGGTCTATAAACAGGTGTGTGCTGCCTGCCATTCAATGCGCTTTATTGCATATCGCAATTTAGTTGGCTTTACGCATACTGAGAGCGAAGCTAAAGCGGAAGCTGAGCAAATTATGGTATTTATCTATAGCATGTAGTTATGTATATATTTGGTATTTATACAACGGTTATAATCGTTATAGGTAAAAGATGGCCCTGATGATAGCGGTAATTACTTTGACCGTCCTGGCAAATTGTCAGATTATTTCCCCTCGCCATATCCCAACGAGGAAGCTGCACGTGCTGCCAACAATGGTGCTTATCCACCGGATTTAAGTTACATTGTATCTGGTCGTAAAGGCGGAGAAGATTATATATTTTCTCTGTTGACCGGCTACTGTGATGCGCCAGCTGGCGTTATATTGAGAGAGGGACAGTATTTCAATCCATACTTCCCAGGTGGTGCCATTTCAATGGCACAAGTACTTTACAATGAGGTATTTTTAAATTTTTTTTTTTTCAACCGCAAAAGTAATATTACAAGTTTATATGATCTATTAGGTAATTGAGTACGAGGATGGCACACCACCAACTGCCAGTCAATTGGCTAAAGATGTAGCCACTTTCCTTAAGTGGACTTCTGAACCAGAGCATGATGACCGCAAAAGGTTATTGGTTAAAGTTATTGGCATAATGACTTTCTTAGTCGCTATATCCTATTACATTAAGAGACATAAGTGGTCCGTTTTGAAATCAAGAAAAATTGTCTTTGTACCAAAAGAAAAATAAATAACTACAAAGTTCGTCGTATGCAACTTATAGTATACTTAAAGCAACAAAAACGGAGCTGAGAGTTAGTCTATTTGAACTACCAATGGCATCAGTAAGAAATCGCGAAGCTTAAATATAATTAGAGAATTGTTTAAATAATATTAAAAACTTAACGTTAATTAAAATAATTGAATTGAAAATATAAACAAGCCACAAACAATTAAGTCAGATTAAACCAAACGTTTTAAAAAAAAATTCAATCAAAGAATTTTTATTTATTAATTATTATATATAAAGATAATATTAGTAAAATTATTTCAATATTGTGTATTTAGTTTTTTTACAAAATGCTGCCTGTTATGGTTCTAAAAATGGTTCTAATATTTAAATAGTGTATTAATTGTAATTTTTAACTTTTTAAATAAATGTGGTTCAAAATACTTCTTATGACTGACTACAACAAACCCAATAAGATTTCAATACAGTACGCAACTTTATCAATTGTATCATATGTAGATTATATTTTGTTAAATATATCGAAAACAAATGATTAAACACATCTAAACCCATATCTTCATTATTGCTTAGGTGTATATCGACAATATGAACTTATAAATTACACTTTTGAGTTTATGACACAGCAATTCATAGGTTATTTAAGATAATAAAATAAATATATATTTTCAAATAATCCCAATGAGCAATAGATATTACCGAGTATAAGTGTCACTGTTTGTATTAACACCCTTTTGAAATATATGAAATTTATGTAAGTTGAATATATATATATATAAATTTAAGTTGAATATATATATATAAAAATTTAAGTTGAATATATATATTAGGCATATGTTGAGAAATTTTTTCAAATGTGTGAGTAACTAGAACTTCTAAAACTATTTTCACTAAAAAATAAGTTCCTTTAATAATGAACCATTATTTTAGAATTATTCGGTTTAACTTGAAATCTTGGAACCATATTTTTTCTATTATATAAAGTAGAGTACTATTCATGTTACTTTCTACTATAAATTTTAATGCCAACGATGACTAAAATATATGAGGAGATAATACTTCTATTTAAAAGTAATTGTAGTCAGTCCTTCAAAAAAAATTTTTTAAACATTCTTTGGTTTCCACACCACTTAAGGCTGCAACTGGATAAAAAGATATAAACTTTGTATTTACCCATACATTTTGTTCAAACTACACTGCGGATGAGATTTGATTTAGAAGGAATTCTACTAAATTTATTGTAATATTATAAATTGCTTCTTATATTAAATAAATATAGGAATAGGTAAAATAGACTTTCGTTAATCTAGTTTCGCTATATTTCCGTATTCTTGATATATTATTACAATAACGTCCACAATTTAAAATTTATGCTAATTATATACATAAATCCTATTTAGTCAGGACATTTCATTATCTTAGAGATACATCTCCTTAGATCCTAGAGATAATCTGTGCATATCACAATGAATGCAAAATAGTGAATTGTAAGTCACAAGAAAATTATTTAAAATTTTGACCTGGAATATAACTATGGCGAAAATAACTATATTCGGAAAATAATTTATTTTTTGGTGAAAATGAAGAATGGTGATTGTAGTGTACAAATATGTTATTGAATTATATATTCTCCATGACTGATACGTATGTACTGAAGCTGCACAAATGGAGTAGACTCTAGACTCATATACCATTATTGTCCAGTCTAATTGTCTAACATTTTAAAAAATGCTTGGTGGATCTGTCTGAGAAATAGAGTTGCAAGCACTCCTTAAACTCCATTTGATAGAACTAGGTATCTATAAGTTTATGCGTGGATTGCAACCAGACAGACTAATTTGAACTAACTTACATACTCTTTATTTTAGTTCAATATCTTGTCACCTCTCTGACTGCAGATTAGCTTTATGTTTATTGAACTTCTGATCTCTACTGACAAGAAAACTGAACCAAACCATTTTTGAAATTCCAATTTGAAGGAATGGCTTTGCGGTCTAAAAAATTCTGTAAAGATCGAAACAAGTGATAATCCAAATCTAGAGAATACACTATCAACTATAGTATATACATGACAATACCTTCCAATTCAAATGTAAAATGTTTTGTCGTGTCATCAAGTAGTATAGTCTTTCATTATTTTAGTGGAGTGCTATATCTTTTATTCTTATTAATTATTGGTTTCTTGGTAGATAGCATCACCTCTCTATGATGAATATCAGCTTTTAAGTGTATTTTTTCTTTAAAATCCCATCGAACCATTAACACTCAAAACAATTATAAGATCAAGCAAAATTCAATTAGGTAAACGAAACTTTATCATTGTTTTTTGAAAAGGATTATGTGAATCAAAAGTTGTAATTTAGTTTTTATTTTTATATATTTTTCTATAAAGAGGTTTTTTCGAACAGTGGTGAACTATAACAACAAAAATTCATTTTTATATTATTTTAATTAATTGAATATTTAGCTGACCATACAGCTGTTTCGAATATTTCCAAACACCCATCATCAATGGTTTTGGAAATAATTTTTGTATTTTATTATACGTAAATAATTTTTTGAGACTGTAAGTACCAAGAATCGAACTCGTGTCCTGTCAAATTTGAAGCTCAGAGTCAGCGCACTTTAACCAACTGACCGAAAACCGTACTTGACTTTTTATGTCCGCACATTTTTGTAGAGTTTTGTTGATTTGCTGTGAAAGTTTTATTAACAAATTCACTTGCTGTGTTTATATTACAACGAAATCATAAACCAGCTGTAGAATAATTAAATTAATTAATTATATTTTTATTTTTAATTATTAAGTTTCAACACTATTCTGTTTGCAGCGGCATTATTTGTTGCATGATTTATAAATAACGTTGACGTTTCAAAGTGTGTTTGACTTTTTTCTCAGGGCGGAGTTTTATAACAACTCTTAACGCAACTCAACTCTTATTATAACTCTGAATTCATAACTGCTCTAAAATAAAATTTTATTGTTGTACTAACCTTTCTATTAAAAAACAGACCTAGCAAGAAGATAGTTTCCTTAGTCATAATGAACTTTAAAAATCAAATTTAAACAGTATTTACTCTTTCTGGTAGTTGATTTTCAGCTTCTGGGGCCCCTTTGTTGCCTCCAGCGATGATGTGCTTCTGTTGCCCATTAAATACTCAATCTCAGTTGGGAAAAAACGATACTTTTTCTGATCCCTCTAATATTTACTTAGTTGATTTAGCAACAAGAAAGTAAGTCCACTTACTAATGAGAATATTTTCAATATCTGATTTAATTACTTTAGTGAATGATGTTGAGGATTTTTGTTAGTTTTCACAACAATTAATACTTTATCTTCATGGTCCAAAGATCTTAAAAGAATAGCAGCATAAAATCGATAAAAAAATTAATTTATTTTTAATGCATTTTTTAAATTTTTTTGTATTTAAAGTTAGGTGACAAATAAAAAAGTAATATTTTTTAAGCAAAACTATGAGTTCTTTTTTTTCATAATCAATGAGAATAATTTTTTTTATGTTTAAACAAAATTTGCTTTGTTAAGCATTTATTTATTAACTTTTATTCTGAGTTAAATATAATAAAAGTCTAAAGGAAAATTCAGCAGCTTAGCTGTAAAAAAATAAATTATCTCAAATTATTAACAAAATTTCTATGAAAAATGCATCATTTTTAATGAAAAATAAAAACGAAATAAATTATATTAATTAAAAGTTGTTCTTTGAAAAAAAAAAAGAAGGAAATTTCATTGACTTTAGTATAAATTATATTTTGAGTTGGTAGTGCGCAAACCTTCGAACATAAAAAATTAAGTTTGCCTCGACGATATTTTACCTTTGCTTAGTTTAATTGAACTTTTCTTTTTTCTACTAAAATTCTCAACATTTTAATTTCCTCGTTTTTAATTTGCTTACGTTAAGTTTTAATTCATATATATATATATATTTAAATATATATAATTTAATTATATTTAAATTGTATATTTCATTATTCAATTTTTAAATTATATATGTTTAATGCGATTTTTTTATTGTTAATATTATTATTGTATGCAATTATTTTAAGACGCTGTCTAGACATTAGTACGTGTACCTTTTTTGTTTTTTCTTTTTTAATTAATTAATTAATTTGTTACTAAATGGATGCTTTAAGTTATTTAAAATTTTTTGTTATATATATTTACTTAATAATCCATCATTTTTTAATCTTTGTTTTGTATATGCTTCGAAACTAAATATTCCTTATGATGTTAAAACGTTTGATTTTTGTTTCTTAAGTTTATAATTTTTATATCTTTGTTTTTATTTTTATTTCATATTTATGATGCTTCATTTTAATAATTTTATATATTTAATTTGTTTTCTGTTGTTGTTGTTTTATTTATTAAATATAAGAGAATAATAATAACATGTTCTCACGACGAGAAGACGCTAAAGAGGTGACGAAAAAAATGATTACGATTTTTAGCATCAGCAGCAGCAGTAGCAGCAACAGCAGCAGCTGTTGCTAAAAGACCAGCAACAATTGTTGTAACCAACTAAAAATGTGCACCTTCTGGTGGTTGCGGCAATTTAAGATTTTCTTTACAAGTCATAATTCTACGAATTTCTTGCAGCATCGATTTAATAGTATATTCACGATTCCATCTGGCTAGCATTGGAACTAATCTGTGATCAACCTAAGTTATATGAAATAAAAAACACTATAAGATTATCTTTTAACACGAACAATTGATAAATAAATTACTTACCACTCCATTGTTTTGATTAATACAATTCATATTAATTTTTGTTAAAAATCTAAGCGTTGGAGGTTCGTCAGGGTAACGTTCACCGCATTCAATTTTCAGTGAATACATTCTATTTTCATAAGGTGTCTGTAAAATAAAAAAGGATTAATATTAGTTCATTGTAAAAAAATTTTGATCTTATATATAGGAAATTAAATACAGACTGAGGCAATTAAATTGTAACTTTCGGTAATGCTATAATTTTTTTTATTTTTTGTTCATTTTATTTTTGTGTTTCAGGAAATTTCAAATTAACAAATATATTAGCAATTTTATGGCGATTATAATGATAATAAGGCTCCCGGAATTACTGGTTTTACGCCGCGAACCCACTAGTCAATTTCAACGACTAAGTGCAATTCACAATTTCCAAAAGAGACTATAGCAACAATCATCACCATCGATCTTGGGAGCCCCCAACTCAAAAAAGTGGCCAGGTTTCTCCGTCTGGATCCGGGTTAATGTTCAAATAAATCCCATCCACTTAATCCAACCCTTACCCTCATTCCT